ATATATATATATATATATATATATATATATATATATATGCAGCGACAATTCTTTTTTGCGTAAAAATGTTTTCCGATCTCTTACAGGGTAAAGACGATTTTGGGGATTTATTGCTCTATCTGGCATATTCGGTGATCGATCGCAAACTTTTTGTCACAGTATCAAAAGCATACAATTTGAGACCGATGGATATTACCGGTGCTTCAGGTCCGCTCATTTTTATAAATTTATATATCACATAAAGCATGTTTGTGTATTGTGCTTGCCTATTTGTTTTGTGACATATTTTTAACAAAGGCACAAAAAAACAAAACTGGATTCTTTGAAAAAAGTGTACGAGCCTGTAACAAGCTTCAAACTTGTTTTTTATTTCGCTCTTTGTTCTGACTTCTGATCTGTAGGCTAATTCTGGATTAATCCTAAAACTTTAACATAAAAAAAAAAAACAAGCTTGAAATTTTAGGGACGAAGTCTGTGTAAAACTCAAGCAGTCTAAAACCCGCTTCGGGTTTACCTGGTATCCTGAACTGTGACTTCAGTGCCAAATTCATGCAGTGCTAAGTTAAATCTAGAAGCTCAAGAATGAAATTGAAGTTCAGTTAATATTTCGAAAATGTGACTGTTTGTGCGCGTATGTGTGTGTGTGGCAAGAGACCTACGGGAACAAAATGTGGAAGCGCGTTGTGCCTTAGAAATTTACAAAAACTTCACAGACATGACAATAGCACAACCCAAAAAAAAAATACCAAATATGAATTGATTCAAGAAGCGCAATAAATAACCCAAATCAAAAGGCACAAGAGATAAACGACTGCACGAATGAACCTCGTATAAGACGATTCCTAGGGACAGATAAGTCTAAAATAAGACGAAACGACAGAGGGGAAACGAAAGCACTGGCGAACTTTGAGTGGGACCTCAACTGGTAAGCCGGACTGCTTTTATAGAGCGGAAATTTCGTAAGCACTGGAATGCGCGCTATCGTCGCAACTGATCTCCGCTACTCATTAGCTACCGTTATCAGGGCTTCTAGATCTCCACGGATAGCTAATATGATCCAGGAAAAGACTTTACTTTGGGAAAGGGAGCGCTTTGGCGAGGGTTATCAGAGCCTGGGATCTGAGGACGGGTCCCAATTGGTTTTTGTTTTTCTTTTCTTTCATTTCTTTTTTTTTAATTCCTGAACAAAATATTTTAAAATATATTTTTAACTTTATCCTTTTAGACTGAAAAAGGAGAGTTTAGGCTTTCCTTTACTATTCTTTAAAAAGACTGTCTTTGTTACAGACTCGTACACGCTTTTCAAAGAATTTCAATTTCCTTTTTAAGTTTCTGGATCCGTGCTTTGGACCTAAGTGTATGTGAAACCTATTTTTATGCAGATACGAACCAATTTTACAGGTTATAAGAGTAGACAGATTAAAGGCTGATTGTGAACACAGGCAGTTTTTGCATGTATTGGCGCATTTATGACAAACACACTTAACTGTGCAAGATCCTTGGCGATTGTTGCTATTTATATAAATATATGTATATTTATGCAGTATATGAAACTGTGTTGCAGACCCATATGTGAAGGTGGAGCAAATTTATCAGCGCCGGCGTGTAAAGGCTCGCAAGACATCAATCAAGCGAGCGAACCTCAATCCCGTGTACCACGAATGTCTCGAGTTTGATCTTCCGTTGAACGAAATTGAACAAACTAATCTGCTGGTGCAAGTAATGGACTGGGATAGGCCAGTTTTTAAAAAAATTTATTATGCATTTCACGTCACAAATATTTTACACCCGAAATGCTAAGCGTCTCCTTGTTTCTTGCCTATATTTTTTTCATCACTACCACACCATTCGTCAATTGCAGCGGAATTAGTGCATCTGCCAAGGTCCACCGTTATCATTATGCTGTTTTTCAATCGTTCTCTCTAGGAACACCTAAGAAATTGCGCTCAATTTCAGGATAGGTCACGATGATTTGCTTGGCTGCTGCATTATTGGCCGGGACAGCCCCACGCAAGAGGGTCGACAGCAGTGGTCCGAATGTTTCAAAGAAATGGATGTCAACAGAGTCTCAAATGAATCGGTACGACAGCTTTACTGAAAATAAAAATACTGCATTACAAAATTTAATATGTTTATGTGTGTGTGTTTGCGTGTGTGTGTGTGTGTGTGTGTATTTGCGTGTGTGTGTGTGCGTGTGTGTGTTTGTGTGTGCCCGCGTGTTTACATTCTGTCACTCACTTTCAACTCAGGAAATAGTGAAGCTAGGAAGCTGAAACTTTTGAAGCAACTGCAGCTCTCTCGCTCTTATGTTATTATTCACGTACGCTCGGTGCACGTCGATATCTGTATAGTATCAATGACTTTTTGCATGCCGCATGTCTGACGGATAGTCCTACTGCTTATGCTATTGCGAAAAGACACGCTAAACATCCTTGGCTTCACTGTTTTGTTCATTGCAGCTAATTCGGAAGCTTGAAAGCAGGTAGGTTAAGTTCTAGAAATACCAAACTGAGTCTCAGAAATTTCGGTGTCGTTTTTGCCTGGGTTCTCACTGACCCAAAACTAAACTTGTTGTCATAATTTTCATGTGTTACAATGTATTTTTGTATTTGCAGAAGCATCACTCAGTGGGAACATGGCACAGTATTCTTGACGAAGTGCCTGAGGAGTTCCGTAACATTCCAAAGGCGAAAAAGTAAAGTGTTTCCGAAAAATGGTTGATAAATGACGATTCATGATTAAAACTGTCTAGAAGGAACGGAATTCTCTTGTTGTTTTGAAGTTATTTTTTCCCTTGCTGCAGGTGGTTTTTCTGTGAATATTACTTTTTGATTATTTTTGCTGATATATTTATCTCTTGATCTAGAAAATAACGATTTTTGAGTTTACGGCCTACCTAAAATGAAAAAATTGCCTCATTTTTATGCGTTTTTGCATATATGCAAATTGCAAAAACGCATATTGGGAAGAGGCTGTC